CATAAGTCTTATCTGAAATAGGAAGACAAGTTATTACAAAGTAATTTTCATCCCTTTTCTTACATTTGAAGAAAAATTCGAGCTTTTGGAATTGTTTTTACTACATATCTTGCTTTTTCACTATTTCTTTTTTGATTCATGTAAGGCATGTAATATCAGTGAATTTGTATTGAATCGTTACTGTGAACGGGAGAATGTTCTACTACTGTACTTCTTGAAGATTCATATCCCAAAACTTACATTTTTTATGTTCAAAAATATGCTGTGACGGTTATTATTGCAAAAAAATCGCTTTGAGGTTATATTGCATGCTCGTCAATTGATAAAACTGTCAAAGTGTCAGAACTGCCCCGGGTTTTGATTCTCATTTAATTAGCGTTTTTTAAAATTATATTCTGCAAAAAACGTACGTGGTTATTGTTTGATTAAAAAGTCTCATGACACTAATCGGCAAAGTTTCGAACTGAGTAAATAATCCAAATGAATCCAAATGTATAAATCAAATACGAATAGGAGATTCATTTTGACGTTGACCAATATACATAGTTTTGAAAAAAAAAAAGGAATCAACACACGGCAAGCTCCATAAAAGTTTAAGCTACTAGTGTACGCCAGTGCGCGCGTGTGCAAGCAAGATGAAGTGCAGAAAGTCAGCGGAGCAAAACGAAAATTCCCGCGAGGGCATACACACGTATACGGTGCAGTGATGCATCTCGAAGATTGCATTGCTACGAGCATCGTGATGTGTGTATCCTATCGCAGCAGCAATAGCAGTAGCAGCAGCTATGGCGAAGCTACTCTTCGAGTGTTTCGCTCTCGCAAGCCAAGCAAGAGAGAGAGAGAGACTTTGTTGGCGAACAACTTGAAACTCAATCTATAGAGGCCTTTCCGTCCTACGCGTCCTATAGATATATTTTCTCTTCCTCTCTCTCTTTCTTTCTCTCTATCTTTGCCTATGTATATACATTCCCGATACTACTGCTTATGTACGTATATCTGCTGTGAGTATCTTCGAGTGCCATTGACTTTGAGAATATATTCTTCGGGGGTCCAGCTCTCTTTTTAGCTGTCCCCGACGTTTTTATTCTTTTACTTTTTCACCGAGCATACACCCTGCGTACTTTTATATGTATATTGACAACGCGCGTATGCACTGTACGTATGTATACTCTCTGGAGTCTACACACAGGGCCGCGCGCAAAAGATATTTGCTCTGGGAATGATTTTTAAAGGATTCCCTTTTGGGGATGAGCGAAAGCATGTTTACAGGGGACTGGTCTGCTACTCTGCTGTTTTGCCGATGCTCTTTTTAAATGACACGCGCGGTGAAGCCACGTCACATGGGTAAATCGCCAGTTCATCTTCTACCTTATTATCTTAAAAAAACATTTGAATTCACCATGATTAAGAAAAAAAAGAAATTTTAACTTATAAATATAATTGAACTCGTATTTTTTTTTTCGCTTAGAGAATGTAAAGTCGACTATAATTAAATTTGGTCGAATTATTAAATAAAAGCAGCAGTCGAGGATATCAAGTAGGAGTGGCAAGCAAATGCCGTTTTCTTTATGTCCTGAGCTTGCGAGAATGCAAGAGCTGCCGTGCGCCCTTGTCTCGATGAGCCAATAAATAGCGAAGCGCCACAATTTCTCGGAGACAGTCGCTTCCTCGTATATACACATATTATACGATTCACTGGTCCGTCGTATCTATATACACAGTCTTCTATATGTAGGCTTGCAACCAAGCAAGTAGCAGCAATATGAAACCGGGCTGCTGAGCTACGAGTTTCTCTAATTCAGCTCGGCATCATAACTTGCCATTTCGCCTACAGTGGGATATTCGCTCCTCTCCCTCTCGTCCCTCTTCCCTCCCTATAATATACGAAAACGTCGCGTTCTACAGACGCACGAAAGACATTAAGTCGTGAAATATACATATATACGATACTACGCAAATGAGAGTGAGTCCGTTAAACGTCGAGGCCTTTCTCTCCATCTCTTTCTCTCTCTTTCTCCTCCTTTTTCTCGCTCTTTGGCTAAACTAACTGCCAGGGTTGATATGCTACTATATAAGCACGCGAGGCGTATACTCAACGCGTGGCCGCTTGTGTATCTCGAGATCCGCGGAGAGAGCGAAAAATGCGGAGCTGTTGAGCGAGCGCTTGTAAAAGGAAAATCCGCAGAAAAATACGCTGTATAAGCAAAAGCGAAAGTGACTATGAACGAGAAAGAGAGAACATATAGGTAGGTAATGCCACGAGGGATTCAGCTTTTGTGGTTTAGATTTGAGTTTGGATTTATTGTACTCGATATTTTTCTGACTTGAGCGGGAAAGGCATCATACTCGAAAGAGGGCCGAGCTCAAGAGAGATATGCTTACCTGCGACTGAGGATAATATTTTTTTACACGCAAGGGAGAAATGAATTATGCTTTGACATTTTCACTGAATGAATACATAAACAGAGATGGGTATGCGTTTCCAAGTCGATATTATCATCGCTAAACTTGTCGCTCTCGGGATAGGACAAATAAGCCACCCTTTGAGTAGATACGTATAAATATTTTTTAAATATTTTACAAGCTACTAGACGACATGCAAGGAAGATTGCAGAAAAGCAAAACGCGTTGAATACTTTTTTTAAAAGTTTTCTACGCAGAAAAACAAAACGACAACGAAAACACTCTGTATGAGACAGATTCGCCCGACAAGTACAAAAAAGGCGTACGGAAAGTTTTTTCCGGATAACAATGCCAACAATGCTACAACGAATCTGAACGAGCAGCGGAAAACTTTCGACACCATCGCAAAATTCTTCATCTTGTATATCTCGGGAAAAGAGAAAAATAATTGGAATTTAATATCGATCTTCTTACCTCAAGTATACATATGAACTCTTAAAAATAAGCTCAGCTACACATGCGTTATTATTCAGAGCAGGGAGTTGAAAAATTGCAGATGGTAAATGGATGGAGAACATTTTTCATAGGTGGAAGTATTATGCGTACGTACATAAGGTTCGCGTGACGCAATTGCCGAAGTACGTCGAAGGCAGTACTCTGTGAGAAGCAAGGAAAAAGATTATGTGTACATGCAATCCAAAATGGATTTTCGTCGTGCCAGGATGATGCTCGCAAGATTACGACTTTGTTTACTTATATTTTCTGGCAGCTCTGGCTGTCTGTTGGCAGATGAGTGTGGGTGAATTTCGTCGCGCAGGTCATGAAATATCGCTTTATATGTTACTTATCTGAGACTTTAAAGAAATATTGTTTTTCATACAGGTGAGTGATCGACGTTATGAGGGAGCGAGAAAGTGGATACGCTCGTAAAAGTCTATGCGGCAGTGGTGAAGGTAACATTGAGTCGAGTACTTCATAGTTTTCATGAAAAATAAATTACTTGTACACTTATCGTTATTGAACGGCACTCGCTCTGCCTTTGAATGACACTTTAACTTGGTCAGAACATCAAATATGAACCAAAAAATCATTAATAGGGTTGCTTTTCTCGAGAAAACATTTTCTTCGAGCATACATAATTAACAGGCAAAAACGCCAAAGACACGTTTAATTTTTGGCGAAGAAAGGGATAGAGATTATTCTTAATACATCCCTTAGCAGCAAGTAAATGCATTCTAATTAACTTAGCACTGTCAGGAGAAATGCTGTGTTGCTACTACTGCTACTCCCTCATGTACACCGTGACATTTTACGCGGAGGCATTTCTCTAGGGAGAGAAGAAATACTTAGTGGAAAAAGAAAGAGTACGAGAAAAAGAATGAGAGACTGAAAAAGAACATTTTACATTCAGAGGCATATGCGCGTGCTCTTCGTTTTTAATTACACCCGCAAGGGTTGCTCCTCTTCATCCCCTTCCCGTGCTCGAAATTCTTACGAATGCATGCGTGAGTGCCGTAGATTAATCGTGTATATATTCACTCGGGTTTTTGCCTTATAATTCGTGCCGTGAAGTGTGCGATTCTTCAACGTCGTTTGTATGTATGCCGCGCTAGCGTGTGCGTGTGCGCGAGCATATGTAACGTTCGCATGACTCAGCTTGGAATTCACACATGCACAAACTCATACACACATACTTGTAGTGCAGCACAGTATAGCAACTACCCTTTTGAAAATGCAATCGATTGCGCATTGTGTGAAGTATTTAGATAAGCTACATGATGGAGTGTATGGGCTGTGCCACTGGATAAGGTCAATTCGCATGAGAAGTATTTACTTGGGCTGATTACGTTTTCTTACCTGCAATTCTATGGCGTATTTTATTTCAAGAATTCCTGTTTTTAATGCGAAAATTGATGATATTCAAGAAAAAGCTTATGAGTGAAAAAATATGTAAACAACGTGGAAAAATTGACGAAGTAATCTTGAATCATTACAGAAAATCATTATCGGAAAATACTTTACTTGAATCGACATTTCCAAGATTGAAGTATTCAAACGATTGAAAATTCAAAGGGCAGCCGGTTTTTAAGACTACTATAAAAAAAATTTAAAAAGTAAAGTATTTGTAAAAAGTTTAGATTGAAAATAATTTTTTACGAATTAAAAGCTCTTGTAAATACTTTCGAAATAGTCTATAAGAGGAATTTTAATCATAACGTTGCACGATGTGAACACTTAACAAAAAAGTATTACTTGAAAAATCTCAACTTAAAAGTATACTTCCTTTTTATTCTTGCAAAGAAAGAGTAGCGCAAAAATAAAAAGTGGATTTAAAAATCTACGCGTAGCAACAAACGAAAAAAAAATTTCAGGATAAAAAAGTGCACCGAGTACAGTCACAAAAAAGGCGAGTAAATACAAAGGATATAAGTACAAGCGTAGCGGATTTTCTAGTAGTATTTCCGACTTTTTCTCAGCTGGCTGGAGTTGCTTTGAGCTTATATACTTTGAAATTGCCGAGACCTGTCACCTCGTTCGTTTTTCTGCAATAGTGCACCTCAGTTTGTTAAAATTTTAAAGGTGTATTGAACAATACGTATGTGTAAATATCTATTAGAACTCGATTTTTACAGATAATAGATGTGTAATATTTAGAATTTTGCTTAATTGCGAATTAATATATTAGAATTACTTATTATCTAATTATACTATAACACCAAATGGATTATTAATCACTACAATCAGCGTCTCTTTTTGCTTTCAGATCTCTTAAATGATATTAGTCTTTTTATAAATCTGATAAAAAATATTATGAATAATGCAAATATAACCAATGGCATTATGATTGTAACAAAAAATATATCTAACAATGATATTTGCCACCACTTTAAATCCATTGCTGGCGATCTCAACGAATTTTTTCCATTTCTGATGACATATTCAATCCAATATATAGCTGTGCTCAGTGGACTTTGTGGCCTATCGCGAAATAATTTTGACAACCTCTTCACATTTTCACTGCAAAATAATTTTATGATCAGATAATATATATCATTAGCAAAAATTAATATAGGATCGGCTTACCCGTATTCACGAGTTTTTAAAATATTATCAATGGCTTGATCAAACTCCTTCTGTGTCATATATCTGAAATCAACCACTGTAGCAACTTTTAATCTCACATAATTTTGAGCATTTGTCCACTGATCGGCCAGCAGTGGTATGCAAATCATTGGTACACCGTAAAAAACAGCTTCTTGCGTTCCAAGTAAACCACCATGAGTTATGAATGCTTTGACGTTAGGATGGTCTGAAAAATACAAGAATGCAAGATGTATGTCAGAATGGCAAGACTCATTGAAATTGGAGCAAGCATACTTAAAACTTTTTCTTGGGGTATCCATGGAAGAGTGTGTATGTTAGATGGTAACTTTTTAGTCAATTCTTCTAATTTTGCAATTCGCATAAGCACTTTGACTGGGGTTAGCTTTCTCAGAGATTCCAGTATTATATCTAATACATGATCGGGAAATGTTTCAATTCGGAACATCGATCCAAGCGAAAAATATACCACACCGTCTTTGCTGTCGTCGAGCCATTTTTTCAGATCCTGCACATAAATCAGGTTAACGATGCGAGAAAATAAGCGGTATTGAAAGTCAAACACTTATCGTGATAATTACGACATCGAGCTCGAGTCCATCATTTTTTATATGCAAACCACCAACTTCCACAACGCCAGTAGTCAATGGCTTGACACCGTTGATCGGAAAGTATGTGTTCATCAAAACCAACGACACGCTCTGCTCGAGCTCTCGGATATTCGGAGCATCAGGCCCGTAATATTTTTTCAACAAATCACTTTGATATTGCGTTTGATGAAGATAGGAAAATTTCAAGCGATAAAATATGTAAGCGTTAACGAGACGAGCCCAAAATCCGTTGCCCTCCGGTACAGTTTTCATGTTGTTGGGGGAGAAAGCTATGTTTTCGGGGTTGCCAATCATGTCATGCATCCATGGATACATCGCCGTTGTGCTGACGAGCACAACTGGTATATTCCAGCGGTGCGCAAGAATCATGTAACAATGATAGTTCATCATCTGCGTAAGCGCGTAGAAAATATAAGCTTTAAAAATGAAATTTCTTCAGTAATAAAGTATATATTCATACTGACGTGTAAAATTATGATGTCATAGGGTGGATCTTTCGGTGGATTTTCAGCCAGCTTTAACAATTCTGGATGGCCAATATTTTTGCAAATAGCATTTCCAAGTAAACCCATCAAACTGTAATTACTATTAAAATTTACGACGAATTCGTCGATTCTTAGTGTTTTCGAAGTTAAAACTGAATGATCGGGCAACGTCATGATTTGTTTGTAGCTCGTATTATTTTCATTCAAAGGAAAAGTATTGATTAAATCCACGTTGTGGCCTTTTTCAATGAGTCCTTTGAATAATTGATTGATCATTATGAAATGGCTTTTGATTGGTAGAGAATAAATGCCCAATATTCGATAAGCACTGCAGCAACCTATCACTTCAAAAGTCACGAGTAGCAAAATCAATTTGTTAATCAACATTTTGAAAATTCCAGTTAACAGTTCACATGTGCACAAGTAAACGTCATTTGCACAAATTAATTTTTACACTTATTCGTTGTTACCAATTCAGAGGACTGCAACTGACTGAGATGACTCGAAGAAACATTTTGCTTGGAGTTCTGTGCAAACGTCGAACGTCATTCTTGTTTGTAAAAAGATTAAACGTTAAATTTATATAATTTATACTTTTTGCTCATCATTGAATCGAAAAAAGTAGTAAATTGCGTCTCTGGTAAATGAGGTGTGATATTACGTAATTACCTTTTAATCTAAAAATTAAACGTCACGCGTCGCACCTATCTTATTTATGCATTATGCAATACAAGTATCTTGAAACCATTTCAATGATAAATAATTCAAATTAAATACCGAAGTATTTAATTAGACGGGCAACATTTTTGACACGCCTTTTTTAATTTTGCTCAGAAGTAAAAGCGATTCAACGCAACGCGATATTATAAATATTTTGCTTTCAAAACGTCGAACTACATAGATATGGATCCGGTCCTATCTTTTTGTCAAAATAATGCGTTCACTCTTTTCATCAACTTATATATTTTCATCTCCTTTTCATGCGCGTGCGCCATTCAGTGACTCATTGTTTATATACTTTTGTATATTGTAGAAAACAAGCTCGTGCCGACCTCCTGTGACGTGAGGTATAAAATTTAATCAAGAAACGGAAGTTTCATTTAGGTTCTAGGGGAATTTGTTATGATTGCTTTAATCAACTTGAACGTTTGGTATTCAGTTGAAGCTAGAAACATCTGAAACAAGCTTTTTTCATTTTATTTCGAACAAAATAAACAGTTTTCTATACAACAATATCGGCGTAGTCTTATTATTGTTTCTTCAAATGCCGCTCCCATAAAACGAGCAATCAGCTCGATAAAAACTGATACGTCAAAGCACAGAGTATTAGAAATATAATTGAAAATTCAATTATACACTGGCAGATCGCAGTGCAATTAATTCAAAGTAGCTCTACCGTTTTCCGTCCAATTATTCCTGCAAATCTACATTTCGCTCGACTTTTGACTAGACAATCAGGTATGACATCAGCAGCACACTATGCTGCCGCCTCCGCCCTTGTGACTGCTCTTCAGGTATATACTGCTCCGAAAGCTTCTATCTCTTCGTGTGATGTCGCAAGTGCGACAAAGTTCCTTAAACCATCTAGTTTTCTGCCAGCCTCACAGCCCAAGAGCAAACGAACGCGCTCTGGAATGTAAAATAGCTTAAATGCACAAGACAAGAGATTACCTCGGAAATCGAAGTAATTAACATTTCGTATATACTCTATATATAGCAGCTTGCGACGGTCTATATATACTCCCACCGGTTTCAAAGCTTCTTTTGTCAAATACCTCGGTGCGCGCGAATAGCTTTTCGTTGCTTCGCCGTAGCAAAAAGTTTTCCGCTGCATTTCACCTCGCCATCACCTTGGCAGCCCTGCAAGCTACTAGCGAAAAGCTCGTGGGCGAAAAATGTTCAATTAAGACAGTTGAATAGCCCTTTGCATAAATTCGTTACGTAGAAAAAAACGCCAAGTTGATTTTTTCTCTCAAGCGCTGCAAACAGAATGAAAGGACGATTTCGTAGAAAATAATTATATGCTTTTTGAAATACAGCTACGGTAAGCTTTTTAATTTAGAAAAGTTATTGTGGAAAATGTGCGTCGATCAAAATGACATTGCGCATGCAAATCGTTTCATTTGAATGGATATTGCATCGAAAAAATTTCAATAATCTATATAGTTACTAGACAGCTTGTACACGAGTTGTAGTAAGTAAGAGCATGTACCACAACATGCAACTGAAAAAAGAAAGTAATAAAAAATTTTTATGTCAGCAGACACCGCAGCGCGCTCCATTTCAAGGCAAAAAAGCCCAAGTAGAGCTACTATATCTTTTCCAGCATCTTGTATATAATAGTTTATACAACGTGGCATCGTATATAGTCCTTTGACGAGACAAAAAGGGGAAAAGTTTTTTCCTTCTATCTCTCTCGCTCTGGTGCTCGCTTTTGCCTGTAGCTATACTTTAACGGTGCGACTTCGTTATTTTATAATTGGCACTATCCGGCTTCTTTCATGAATTATTAAGAGCGTAGATAAAGCCACGGAATATCGACGAACTTACTTGTTTGTCTACCACTCATATATTTCGATTTTCGTGCGACCTATCAGATTATATTTCCATTATAGTCTTTTATATCTTTCATGATACATTTATATAAGATTTTGAATAAAAACTGTTAATCTTCATCAACGCTCAGCTTAGTTCACTATTTATTATTATTAATATTTTATAATCATACATAATGTTTAAAAGGCATTAATTTCATAGATGTAAAAGTGGCTCGATAAAACCATGAAAATTCCTTAACAAAGTCATTTATACAGACCTTAAATTTGCCATCGTAATTCGAGCCGTCACAAAAAGCATATCTCGACGCAATCGACGAAGTTCATAACTCATAAATTCTCGCTTATACTCGGACATCAATCAATCTCTCATTGCTTAGGCCTCTACTCTGTATATATGCGAGTGACAAATCAAAATGCCCGTGTATACGCACAATACCACGCATCGAACCCCCGTGCGCTACGCCATTTCATCACCTTGTTCATGTGCGCGGTATTGTCACGTAGCTCGAATGGTGCAGTTGACCGTTGCCGGCGCAACGCTTATCGTTCGATCGGGCGCGACATCACGAACTTGCGGGGGCACATTATGAAATGAAAGTTTGATCGCGTTGCGTGTACGGAGCGGACACTCACACAAACATATTTATACCTTTGAATGGATAGCCCTGCGAGGAAGGCAGATGACTGCGCAAGTTTTCCCTCTCTCTATTTCCAGGCTTTCCTTTGATGTCCCTCATAAAGAGCAGGGCGTTCTCGTACACTTGTAATACATACATTCGCCGCATCTCATATTACGTAATATATATTGCGTCTCTGCATAAAGCGCGCCACGAGATCCTTGTTCCTCTTCTATTCGACGAGCTTTTTTTATTGTGTTTGTCGAACAAAATCGTAGCTTTTTGTTTCTAATGAACCGGCGCTTTGTCGGACCGACTCGGCTCTCGGATTCCTTTGCTCTTGTATTGCATTGGTGCGTGTCTGCAACTAGAAAAAAAAATGAAAGTCAAAGCGAGAGTGAGAGGGTGATACTTCGATGATTGTTTAGATGTATATATAGGCCGTACGCTTGCCGTAGGCTTTGTTGGGCTCACCCTTGCTGTGAGCGACGCAATGCAAAGCTTTACGTACGCGCACTCCAGTCCCGTCTAGTTCAGTTTTGTATTGTTTCGACTTGCTTTGAACGACCGTTGCAAAATGAAGAAATCACACCGTTTCTATGATTTGCGCGCAGCGTTTATATCTGCTACACGTAGGTTTTTTTCATTCCTTTCGCAATGCACTCGACTGGATCGACAGCCGAGCGCTGCATGCCGAAAAACTAATTGTCTCGGATGAAAATATTCGGTACATCGGTGTTATTGTTTCGCCTGTATATACCTCAAATACATCTCGTTGGAGTTATCAACAATTCTAATAGAGCAAACATTTGTGTTTACGTTTGGTTACATTAGTATATATTGCGGTAGAAGAGTACATATGCACAGGCAAACTGGTGAGACGGTCAATTCAATAGCAAACCCATCATAATGGCACGAGGCGCCAACAGCGCAGTAGTAGCGGCAACGGCTGTGCAATATGCGAACACGCTGGGTTATATTATGCTCCCTATATAGTCGCAGCTAGCGTACTGCGAAGCTGCTGCTGCAACAACAGTGTGTCAAAGCCCGGCTCGGGGAGATACACCGACGCAGGAATCTGCCGTGCAGCGGCGATCCGTGAGCCTATACACGGTGCAGCGCTGCTGTTCAATTACGTCAAGTGGCGAACGAGCGGCGTCGACGACGATGACTTCGGCAACAGTAACAGCAGCGACGGTCAAGCGTGATGGCGATGTGGCGGTGTAGAGCTTCTGGCGGCGCGTCCGTACCTTGCGACGATATTATTCCTTTCACGCCCTCCCCAATGCACCGCGGCTAGCAACGTTATAATTACTCGGCGAGCAGCCCCGCACGCGGGAGTTAATTTCGTTCTACGTCGCCGGAATGTCACTGACACACACACGTAGGGGCTCCTACATGCGCAGGCATATTCGTGAAATTACGTAGGCGGACAGTGGCCCTCGGGGGCAGCGCGTCGCTCGCGCCTGGATCGCTACTTTTCGAGAGTATATGAGAAAGCCGAGCGTGAGAGCGAAAGTCCACGTTAATTGAGAAGTTTCCAGCCCCGTCCGTCCGTTCGTAGGTCCATGTACGCGAGCGCACCTCGCCGACGTGTACCGCACCCTCGCACGCTGCGTCTCGGTACACGCGCGCAGCTACGTATGTGATTTGTATCCGCGCGCGTGTACGCGTACATCTAGACGCGCGCCGAGTAGCGCACTTGTCGTTAAGTGTACTTTCCGGCCGTAGTTCGCTGGCGGACTCAAGAGAGATGATTGGTTGCTTTGAGGGAATATATTTGCCGGGCTATTGCTTTAATTCTCGCTGAATTCGTATGTGTACACGAGACCGACGACGATATCTGCTATTCGTGTGCGCGACCATCTCTATAAAGCGAGCACTGAATCTACATCAATTTCTTTCAAATTCTCTCGACTCTATTTACTCGTACTTTGTCCAAACGCATAAGATTTACGCTATATTTTTCGTTTCACTTGAACATGAAATGTTATGTGCAGTCGAGTTAAGCTACAACAGTACACGATGAGCATGCAATTCTGTTTCAAATTATAATTTATCCTCATAAGATTGCACTTTTCAAAGTCTTACTTGCGTGCGCGATCAATTTCTCTATAAAGAGTATTATAATAACATTATACAATAAAGCAAAAGCGACTTGTACGTGCGCCATTTCGATAAGTGCTGCAAAGACAAAGTCGCTTCTAGCCTGCAAATTCATCGCTCGTTCGCTTTAATTAACGAAATTCATTAAAATATACGTTGCAGGGATGGAAAGTGCGGCACAAAATTATAAATAAACACATACACAGCTGTATACGAACGGTAT